TATGAGTTCATCTACAGCAGACTTAAAGGTAATTACCCAGCAGCTCTGCATGGAGCAATGGAGCTCCCAAAACAGCACTTGAGCTCCTATAAGGGACAGACTGTCTCCTCAAGCAGCTCCCTGACCCCCATATACCCAAAGAGACACCTCATAAAGGAGAGCTCAGGCTGATATCTGGTGGGTACCCTTCTGGGACGAGGATAGCAGATGAGGAAACCAGTGGCAACCCTTACCATTCTGTACCACCTGTGGGTGATCCACAGGCAAGCAGGCTCTGGAGTGAACCTCCAATGATCCTGCAGCAGAGGGTCTTGACTGTTAGAAGAAAAACTAAGAAGCAGAAAGAAACAGCTTCAACATGAACGAAAAGGACATCTGCTCAGAGACCCCATCCGAAAGTCACCAACTACAAAGACCACAGGTAGTTAAAGCTACTAAGATGGGCAAAGAAACCAACACAAAGAGGATGGAAACACCAAAAACCAGAATATGTCTCCTCCTCCAAGGGATCACAACTCCTCACCAGCTAGGAATCAAAGATGGAGAGAGAATGAATCCGATGAATTGACAGAAACAGGCTAACCCAATATAAAGAAACTAAGAACCTTAAAAAAAAGGTTAAATGAGATGGTAACTAGAATAAACAGAGAAGAATATAAATGACTTGATAGAGCTGAAAACAGCACAAGAACTTCGCGAAGCATACGCAAGTTTCAATAGCCAAATTGACTAAGCAGAAGAAAGGATGTCAGAGATAGAAGATCAACTCAATGAAATAAAATGAGAAGGCAAGAACAGAGGAAAAAAGAGTGAAAGCAATGAACAAAGCCTCCAAGAAATATGGGATTATGTGAAAAGACCTAATCTACCTTTGATAGGTGTACCTGAATGTGACGGAGAGAATGAATCCAACCTGGAAAACACTCTCAAGGATATTATCCAGGAGAACTTCCCCAGCCTAGCAAGCCAGGCCAACATTCAAGTCCAGGAAATACAGAGAACACCATAAAGATATTCCTCAAGAAGAGCAACCCCAAAGCACACAAGGGCAGATTCACCAGGATTAAAATGAAGGAAAAAATGCTAAGGGCAGCAAGAGAGAAAGGTCGGGTTACCCACAAAGGGAAGCTCATCAGACTCACAGGGGATCGCTCAGCAGAGACCGTACAAGCCAGAAGAGACTAGGGACCAATGTTCAACATCCTGAAAGAAAAGAACTTTCAACCTAGAATTTCATGTCCAGCCAAACTAAGCTTCATAAGCGAAGGAGAAAGAAAATTGTTTACGAACAAGCAATTCCTGAGAGATTTTGTCACCACGAGGCCTGCATTATAAGAGCTCCTGAAAGCAGCACTAAACAAGGAAAGGAACAACTATTACCAGCTACTCCAAAAACATACCAAATGGTAAAGAACATTGACACAATGAAGAAAATGTGTCAACTAATGAGCAAAACATCCAGCTAGCATCAAAGTGGCAGGATCAAATTCACACATAACAATATTAATCTTAAATGTAAATAGACTAAATGCTTCAATTAAAAGACACAGACTGGCAAATTGAATAATAAGTCAACACCCATTAGTGTGCGTAAAACAGGCAACTGGAACACCTGGGAGAGAA